AACCCCAGGAGGAACCATGGCCTCCGTGTGGTAGTCAGCAGAATAAGCATCACTGGAGTAGGTGGTGCTGTCAGTGGGGGAAGTAGAGTAAGCGTCCATCGTGGAGTCTGTGACTTCCTCTGTCATGCCACTGGCGGTGGGGCTCACAGTGGTGGTGATCGGATGGGACCCCAAGCGGCCGGGCGGCTGTGGAGGACCCCCTTCGTCTCGAAGCAGAGGCTTCTTAGTGGTTTTCAGTCGTGGCCACTGTGTGGTCTTGGGTAGTGATGCTTGATTTCCTGCTGTTACCACCAGCATGGCCATCAGCAGGATGACCGGGTGGACAATATTGGTCATTGTACAAGTACCTGCAAACAAATGTACTGCAGATGAGGCCAAATGGAAGCTGATAAACTAGATCTTTACATTTTCTGAACAACAAAATACCGCTAATATTAATGACTTGCGTGCCGCCTCTCCACTCTCTTCTCTAAGAGAAAACTGTATCCAGATCACTACCTTTTAACTACCAGTGCCTCCCCGTCGCCCCTCGGTCCAGCCAATGAGAGCGTTTTCTACTGCATGGGCAGGTGACATACACTTGGCACAGGCCTGCGGATTTGATACCTGAGGAGAAGCCTAATGAGATGGCTTTAGAAAGTTAACTTATCAGCCCTTTTTATTCTCATGCATCTGTATCCCTTGTGTTATATCACTTAAAAAGGCAATTAAAGTGCAGATGTTTACACGCAAAAGTATATGCGCATACACCTGTCTGTGTCCTGTTCATTCATTTTTCATATGACTATGAATAAACAGGAATTCATGTTTTGTGTCTGATTTTTTTTTAAGCGCTCTCAAAGTTTCAGTAGCAAAATTGCATGCTGCACAATGTTAAACAAAGGTCGAATAAGTCATGATTTTCCCAAGGATCAAAGAGAATCAGAGACTTTTGGGGGATTTTTGAACAGTCTCAGCGGAGAAAACACTAACACTTGGGGGGCGACAGAGATTTTTGAACAGTCTCAGCGGAGAAAACACTAACACTTGGGGGGCGAATGGTTGTGTATCCTAGACGCCTTCAAACCCTTCCATCAGACACACAGTCTACTTCCTAGCAGTATAAATGTACAAAATTTGAACGAAGAAACCTGGGGTGGCCTGAATTCTATGTAACTGGTCCATTTGGCCGAAGCTCAAAGGGAAGTTAAATAATCAAAGCAAATGAGACGTTGGCCCATGAAACAAAGTCATGGCAGTCTTTCTGCAGCTGTCCGTCAGGAAATCCAGCACTAGTGACTTTTATATCTCAGGGGGTTACTGACCAGAGTAACCCCAGAGTTGAGATGTTCATCTCGTACCTCGCTGTGTGATATGATGTCTCCCAGCGGTGCAATGACATCAGTGCCGATCCTGGACTTCTGGGGGCCCTACGCAAAACTGTCGGCTGGGGGGCGGGGTATGATTGGTTATGAACGAATGAATGAAACGCATTTGTCCGTGTTTCCCTCCGTCTCGAATAGCACTCGCGGAAAGCACTTGAGAAACATTGTCTCTTCCTCAGCACGGTACGCTTTCAACTCGTTTTTTTAGTCTCGAGCAAGACTACGACACATTTACATTACATGATATGACTGATTTTTTACGTAGAAAGGGCGACAGCACACCGCATTAAAAGAAATGATCATTCATGTTTTCATAACTGCTGGCCAAATTCAAAAACAAAACTAAATTTAAATCATCTTTGAGAGCAAGGGGGCCCTACGCAGCTTGCGTATTTTGCGTATAGGGAGGATTGGCTCTGAATGACATCATTCAAGGAAAAAGCTTTTAAATAACACCTCCAGTGTTTGTCAGATCAGTAGTGTGTTATTAAAGCGTGACTCAGATCGTGTTTTCAGACCGAGGTTATGGCATTTTAAACTGGCCATACATCTTCAACAACTTCCATATTACCTAAACTTTTACATTATCTGGAGAAACGTGCTGCCACCACAATACTATGGAGTCGCTATAGTGTATAATATCACCATCAGTGTAAGTCTATGGGACTATTTGACTCCCGTTTTATTGTTGGAGCATGTGGTGTACCTGCAGAAAAAAAAGCAGAAAAATGAGACAACCCCTGCTGACCCTTGTGACTGTTTCAAGGTCAAAGTCTTTCAAAGATTAGTTAATGTTGTAAAATTTATTGTAGTGTAAAACTCACTAAAAACATTAATTATTATGAATAAAAATTATGATTATCAAAATAATTATTATTGAAGTAGCCTATTTATAGAAAAAAAAGTTTTACCTTGAAAAATATATTTGACAACATATATTCAAGGTGTAAGAAAAATGTGGTATTCATTTTTACTTGGTTATACCACGTGACATTTTTAATCATTAAATGAAACTTTTGTTGAAAATCGTATAAAAGTTTGTCAAAATCATACGAAACAACTTGACAAACGTGTTTTAATGTTTCAAAACAATATTTTGTCATTGACCAAATCACTTCGTACATGGTGTAAGATAAGTTACAGTATATGCACCGAAACTGAATGATTGAGAGCTGTACAAATAAACGTTACTCAAACTTGTATCAAATTTGATACTTGCATTTTTAATATGCTTTTTCTAAAAAAAATTATGTATGGATAATGTAGAAGGCATGCAGTTGATTGTGTGCAAGTAAAATATTGATCATGTTGATAATATAGAGGCCTTAGAAATTGATGAATGTTTGCATTAGCTTGTTCATTTGAAATGATGTGGCAATTAAATAAAATTTTATTGTACGTATTTATGAATGAAAAAATGTTTTTCAAAACCAGCTAAGGCAACTTGACAACTGTTTTTCTGTATCTTTTTATCTTTGTCATTGACCCATCAGTCACATTGTATCACATGATGCAAGTCAAGAGGAGTGACAGTATGCACTGAAAATGAATATAGGCATACAGGTTTGTTGAAATCTCCAACTCTTAACTATGAACGATGAACAGCACTCAAACAAACAGCGATGTGTTTTAGCTGGCATTACCCTCTCCACTTACAGCGCCCATTAGACTCGTCTAGCACTGTTTCTGTGGACACAAGGGCACCATTGGGAGTGGGAGATGGGAGGCTGTGGGCTGTTACCTGAGCCTGTATAGCCACCCTCTCGCTGCTGCTACACAGGCCATATGCATTAGCTTCAAGAGGCTCGAGGCTAAATGACATGCCCTTGTTGCCAGGTAGGCAAAATGGAAACCATTAGTCAAACCAAAAGATCCATTTCTCTACACCTCACTAAGCTTCCAGTACTGGAGCACCACAAAAATAAATCCCATTGGACTTCCGTGATGAAAATGAAATCAATAGGATGTGCATCCATTATTCAGCCTCTGGAAGGCTAACAGTATGGTAAGCACTTTTCTGCATCGCGGTTTTGCATCAGTTTATCCGTTACTGGCAGTGTGTTTACTTGCGGCATCCCTAAATGGATCCTTCACTTGACAAGCCTGTGCAACGTCATGTCAGGGCATGAAGTAAAATAACTGGTTTGAAATCGTTAAGGGTTTTCTTCAGTGTGTGGCATTTTACAAAAGACGAGGATTTCAACAATCTTTCATCAACAAATGTGTTAACGCATATAGCAGTTTTAAATGGGTGGTTGGCATGTATTTTAACCATGTAAACCCTACCATATGAAATAATATTCAAAACAAATCATTTTTTATGGAACAGTTTATTGAACCAAAGACACAATATAAAAGAACAACTATGTCTTTTATGTGTTATGATATCTGATGTCAGGCTTTTATGTTTACTAATATAGGAAAATATGAAGCTCACAAAAATATAAAAAGTGGTGCAATGTTATTTACAAAAAGTAATTCTGAGAGTTTATATATCTTTAAATAATTATTAAGATGATATGTTAATGCTTAGTTTTATGAACAAAGCTCTGTTTCAAAACCTAATCAATGCAATAATGATTGAGAGGTACAAATAAATGTTCAACAAAAGCCTGTTGTATTATATTTGACTCGCATTTTAACATTTATATATTCTTCTTTAAAAGATATATGATTGATGTAGAATGCATTTGTGTACAAGTGGTGTTTTCAGCAAAGATCATGTTGGTAATTTACAGGCCTTAGAAAAGCATGTATTAAATATGATACAGTAGATTTTACAGAGTTAATTCATTTTTGCCTTTGCTTGTTCATTTCAAATGGCCTTACAGTGTGGCAAATTACTACAATAATTAGGAAAACATAGTTTGCTTTTAGGTGAACTAGAAAGCTATGGATAGCCGTATGCCTGACATTCTATAAACTACCTAAATATTCTTCCAAAACGTTTTATCAAATTCATTTGCCCTGGTTTTGGATTGGTTGCTTTGAAATGCCATTTCATCATATAGGCCTATGTAGCCTATATTTAGCTTAACATAAACAACAGACAATGGACAACCATATTAAATATTCTACAAATAAATATATTATTATAATAATATATAATTACACCCATGAAATGTCTAAAAGAAAGGAATATTAGGTAAACTAATAAAGCCAATGAAAAATAAATGTTCTAAAAATCCTGAAATTGATTTACCGATTAATTGATTTTATTCGACATGACTGATATTATACATATAAAATGTACCCCAAAAAACCAAGGCACAAGGTACAAATTAAAACCCACAATTCTGTGGCCAGTGTTGTGAGGACAGCTACGCGTGACGTCACGGCCTTCAGGTTCATCGGCTGGTACGTCACGCTGCGGCATCGGTAGTACAAAAAAATCGGTTTGCTGAAATGTAGTCTGACGTAGGCTTCTCAAGCTAGCGGACCGATATGTTGTCATTTCTTTAGTGTATCTGTAGTGTCTATTTTCCCCGGTCCACCAGGCGCTGCAGTCAGTCACGCGGCCAGCGCGCAGAGGACGTCAGGCAGCGGCTATAACGTGCGTTAAAACTCTCCGTGGCGCGCGCGAGCGAGTAAATAACAGCCCGTTTTGAGCGGAGACTCGTCGAAAGCGCGAGCTAGCGGCGCAGATGGCTGTTGTTGGGGGTAATGGGATCTGTGCGGTTATATGCAGCGCGTCGGTAAGGCGCTAGAGCCAGACTGCAGCTGAAAGCACCGGGAACTCGCTCCATTCTGCGGCTTGTAACATAACCACCGGCCATTCGAGATTTCAGGGGGTGATCAAACACGTCAGGCTGCAGATGGGCTTTAACATCGGTCTAATGAAGTAATTTGAAGCCCATACTTCAGTCCCCGAGCGTGTGATGATAGGAGACACAATGACGCTTTTGTCTCTTTTGGGTCGCATCATGCGTTATTTCTTGCTCAGGCCAGAGACCTTGTTTCTGTTATGTATAAGCTTGGCCCTTTGGAGTTACTTCTTCCACACGGACGAGGTGAAAACCATCGTCAAGTCCAGCCGGGATGCCGTGAAGATGGTGAAGGGGAAAGTGGCGGAGATGATGATGAACGACAGACTCGGCGGTCTGGACGTGCTGGACGCGGAGTTCTCCAAGACCTGGGAGTTCAAGAACAACAATGTCGCGGTGTACTCGATCCAGGGCCGCAGAGACCACATGGAGGACCGCTTCGAGGTGCTTACCGACCTGGTGAACAGGAGCCACCCTTCAATCTTTGCCATTTTTGACGGCCACGGCGGGGAGGTAAGAAGCGTGGGTGCTGATGAGAGTCAGGGCGAGAGCTTTAACGGTACATACTCAGCGGTTCGCGAAGCTAGCTAGTTTACTGTTAAAGGTGGAATTCTAAAAAGAACGTTCGGAGAGCGTTGGAAGTTGGTTCCCAAAATAACCAAACATTAAGGGAACGCTCTGCGTTAAGCTGGGACGACCTTCAACGGAGCAGTTAATGCAAAAATGTGTTTACTCACCCTCATTTTGTTTCAAACCCGTATTCCAGACTCGGATTATAAAGTAAATGATGGACATTCTTTTAAGTACTGAATGCAGATTGGGACTGGGGATGTAGGCTAAGGCTTAAAAAAGGAAACAAATCACCCTTAAAAAGTATCATAAAAGTGGCACCTCTGAACAGTGTGAAAGTTTGAATGTTTTTACATTTAAAGGAATAGTTCACCAAAAAATTCTCTCTCTAGCCTCTGTAACCTTTTTATTTTACGTCTGGTGTAATTTTACTCCATACAATGAGTGAATGGTCTTTTGTGTTGGATGGGGAAAAAAGAAGGTCATACAGATTTGGAACAACACCAGTCTGTGTAAATAATGGGTGAACTGTCCCTTTAAGACTGACTATTTTCAAGGTTTTATACACAAGTCATTAAGGTCAATTCGGGGTTATTATAGTTAGGTAAAACTAATAGGCTACTAAAACTACAAATATTTAAAAAAATCGTTCCTTGAATTACAAACTTTTTTTATTTCATCTAGATGCCAAGCTTCTCATTTTAATTTAGTTTAACTTGATGTACTAAAATAAATAAAACTGAAACAGAAATTACTAAAAACTATATAGATAAATGTGTGTGTGTGTTTAATTAAAGAAAAATGACAAAAAAATGAAATTATATAAAAATACAAACTGATTCAAATTTTTAAGAAAAACTATAATAGTGTCTCAGTGACACTAAAATATTATTTGAGATTATCAGACCAGTTGGCTAATTCACATAGGTTGTCCTTCTGGTTTATGTTAGTACCAGAATACCTTGTTGTAGATGTTTTCTGTTTATTTGCAATTTGAGTAAATATTGTGAGAATATTTTATTTTATTTAATACCTTTTTCTGTATATCCTTTAGCCACACTCAATAACACACCATTGGTTGACCACAACATTTTAGGATTGATATCCCTTCAATATACGTTAATTTTTTTTTTTTTTTTTTTTTTTTTTCTTTTTTCCACA